ATGAATTAAATTAGGGAGAGCAAAATAAGAAGTAGAGATTGATTGTCAGTTGAGATGAGTATAAAACTGAAATATGGAGTCTTGGGGGAACTGACATGCTTTGCTGACTAGAGCTGCAGTTCTCTGAACACTGGATGCAAACTAGGGTTACACAGGAAGCACATGGGTGAGCACCTCAGATTTGGTTCTGACTGAGGTGTTGGTATTTTTTTAAGTTCCCCAAGTGGTTCTAACCTGCAGCCAGCTTGGATTTTTATGTAGCATTGCTATCAAACATTTGTCTGCCAAGCATTGCTTAGTAGATAAAAAACAGTAGGTAAATTGCCACATGGCAAGCAAAAAAATGAGAAACCTTTAATTTAAAAATTATTTTATTATCTTTAACTGTACAAAAGAGATTTTAATTCCATATGTCCACTTATGAGTATAATACATCTTGATTAGTATAACACTTTCATCATTTTCCCACATTGAAAGGAAGTTGGAAAGTTCTCAGAGGTTTATATTTCCTTCTTAATTTTGAAATAGAAAAGTTCTGAAATGTCAAGTTTTTCCTAACTTCTTTGGTGGCAAAAATCGAACCAAAAGTGAATATATTTGAAATCAAAACCTGAAACCTTTTCTAGTCTTTCATCATCCTAATCTGGTATGCATAGTGCTATATTCTTGTCTCTCACAGATTGGTGCCCCATACTCCACTAGGGTCTGATATAGATAAGACACTTTTCTGAAATGTGTAAAATTTTGAATTCTGAAATACATTTATTCTCCAATGAGGTTAAGAAAAGAATTAGAGTAACACTAAGGGAGCATTGTGATGGGAAAGGGTGATATAATAATTTTCTCTCTTCCTATTAGATTAAGAACAACACATCTCTCATTAGCTAGGCTGTGGCTTAGTATCTACATTAGCTGAACACAGTGGCCAGTTTCAGAGTGTGGCTTTTGGTTCTCCTGTGCCCTTTCAGGCCTAAGCTAAGAGGAGAGTTCAGTTACACACATGGTACGATAAACAAAGTTTAACCACACAAATAGGTACAGTAAAACAAGCAAACAAAACCAGCACTGGCCCTTAAAAGACTTCAGCAAGTCAGTAGGAATTGAGAGGCTGCTTAGCTAGGTGGTTCTTGCTCTAATCTCTTAGGAGGTGGGCTGAGAATATGGTTCAGGACCTCATTCTTTGCATGCTCAGCTGGTGCTGAGGTGCCATGTTCCTTCTAGAAGGCTAACAGATCCTCATACAGAAAGGAATTCTAGAGCTAGGGGTGTGGTAATTATTTCAGCAATGAGTAAATGAAAGAATAAAAGAAATACTAGTCTCTAGTCTTGCCTTACGCAATTGCCCATGGCCTTAGCCTTTTAATAAATGTCACAATCATTTGAGACTTTCAGTTTTCCTGTTCTGAAGGTTGCACCTGTCTTGGGCTCTGGGCAGGGGAATACCTTCTCTTCAAATGTCCTCAGTCCTCCCTCAGACAGCTTTTTCACTGCTCTGGATCCCTTCTGTATTCTCAAAGTACAGCTTCTGTCAACTTCTGGAAGGCAGTGAAGTCCTTGCTCTCAATTAGGTCGGGAAAAGACAGGTCCCTTCCTTGGAACAAGCAGGCTCAGGAGTCAAACATCAGTTGCAGAATTAAAAATGATTAATTATATGATCTCCCATTTGTTTAAGACATGAACATGAGCTGAGACAATGCTATGTGAACATATAATAGGATCGTACCTCGTTTGTGTTTTGCTTGCTCAGCAGTTTCCCATTTGGAGGCATAACCTGCCTTTGGGGTTTCTGTCACAGGTCTTTTTCCTCTTGGAACAGGTACATGGAAACTATTCTACATCCCACCCTCACATCCACTGCAGAGATTTGCAGGAGGGAGCTAATATACTAATCTTGTTTTTTTGTGTGTGTGAAAAAAATAAACCTAGGCACTTTAGGACACTGGAATTCTTTTTGTCATCCTTTCTGCTCATCTCCCTTCTTCCTGGTTTCCAGAATGCTGTTTCCTCCCTCATTCCAGTCCTTCCCCCTCCCTCTCCCCCACCAAATCTTTGAAAATATACAGTGTGGAGAATATAATAGTTTCTTTTTCTCAGCCTTTGTATTTTCAGCCTTGTTTCTAGTTAGAGAAGGAAAACAGGCAACCCCATGAAAGGAATTCAGGAGTGGAAAGTAAAAGAGAAGGTACAAGAGAAAAAAAAAAGATTGGTTTTGGTCCTTTGTGATCACCTTATGATCACTATTTGTCTATGCTATTTTCATGTCTCTGAGCCACAGTAGGGTCTTCCTAGAGAATGAGAAGCCACTCACAAGATTCTACTACTCTGACATACCTATGACATTGTGGTAGGATAGCTGTACCCAAATACCTGAAAATACTGCCATAAACCTTATAAACAACTCAAAATGTAAAATATGGAATGATGGATATTTTCATCTTTCTTGTATTTGAGTTCATATTAATGGATTTATCAAGGTTTCCTGTGGTTATTCCATTTCTCCCAGTCCTTTTTTCTCCCTAAGTCCTCTAAATGCAAGCTCCCAAGGTTGGAGAAAGAAGGATGATTGCTTTTTCCCCACTGTGTAACTGTTCTGAGAGAGTCTTCTGGCCTCAAGAATCAGGTACATCAACAGCATATACTTTGGAATGCATTCATAGCAGCTAGCCAGGCTACTTTCCTTATGGGTCACAGTGCTGAAAAGTGGTCCTGGTGGAGTCTCAGGGTACACATTGTTCTTGCCTTCCAGAAAATTAATGTAAATTAATTCAAATGGGAAATCCACAATTTAACCTTGAAATCCCATGTTCCCCCTTTAAAGTGTCATTACTGTAACATATTCAGCTGTGGGACCACCTCCCCCCCCTACCCCCCGCATATCCCCACCTTTACTATCTCTAACTATCCAGCACATACAGGTGCTGGATATTTAGAACATAGAAGATGTGTTCTGACTGGAGGGTTGGGGGAGCTTGCTCACTATGGAACTTTTATTGATACCAAGCATAGATTTACCCAAAAACAGTCTTCATGTTACCTTTTTTCTGTTGGGTTTTTTTTTTGGTGTTTTTTTGTTTTTGTTTTTGCTGGTCCTGGGATTTGAACTCAGTGCCTGGGGACTGTCTCTGAGCCTCTTTGTGCTCAAGGCTAGCACTCTACCAATTGAGCTACAGTGCCACTTCCAGTTTTTTGATGGATAACTGGAGGTAAGACTCCTACTGCCTTTCCTGCCTAGGCAGGATTAGGAGCATCAGCTTCAGATTTCAGCTCCTGAGTAGTTAGGATTACAGGTGTGAGCCACCAGTGTCTGACTTTTTTGTCTCTCCTTTTTAAAAAGTGTTCTTCTTTGATAATGTTTTTAGTAAGGAATTAAGTATGCACAGTGGGAAAGGCAGATGTGCACCTGAAAATTAGGATAAGTAAGGGTTAAGTCACTTGGCATTTTGAAGTGCCTCTTATGTATTCCCTTTTCACCTGCCCTGTGGGTTGATGACACTTGATTTTATGTGGTGTTTTCTCCAAAATGGTTGCTGCTGTGTCTACCAGTTTTGCACTGAGTGTTTGAGCAGAAGCCTAATTAAGCAATTCTCTCAATATTTCAAGAATTTATATATTAACTAACATCTTTGAGGGGTAAAAATTATATTTAATGTTTTTGTTAGGGTATCATGTTTATTTTAATGACAATGAAGACTTACATCTATTCTGAGTGACATACTTAACATTTTAAACTATCTATCATATATACCAATATGCAGATATTCTGGCCACTAACCTTTGAAAAAGTAAATCAACATGGTTCACTTATATTTGGTCTGTAGTTCCTACATACAGGTTTTTATTTCCATGTTCTAAAAATAACAGCAGTGGTGGCAGCAAACTTAAGCTTCACTGCAGCAGTTCCCAATTTGGGTTACATATCTTTATTGTGGAGGTGGGGGTTGGTTGTGGGGCTTGAACTTTGGGCTTGAGCGCTGTCCCTATGCTCTTCAGCTCAAGGTGAGGCCTCTACTGCTTGAGCCACAGCGCCACTTCCAGTTTTTTTTTTATTTTAATTTGTATTTTTTGTGAACATACTGTACAGAGGGGTTACAATTACATGGGCAAGATAATAAGTACATTTCTTATCAAGCATTGCAGCCTCCTCCTTTGTTTACCCTTCACATCCCTTCCCAGCCTCCCTCCCCTACCCTCCCACCCAATCCTCCCCCCCCCCACCAAAGTTGTAAAGTTTGTTTTCGACATGACAACTTGTACTTCTCATTGTTGCAACAGGTCCACCTTTATCCTTAAACGACTTGTTTTTCCCCATCTCCTCCACAAATTATACCAACATCAAATATAGTGAAAGCAGGGGTTATACTGTGGGGGAGGGACATACAAAGCAACAAAGAAATAATCTTATAAATGCCTTAGAAACAAATGCATGAAAGAAAAAAACATTAAAATACATATCTAAGGGTTCATTTTCCTAACATCACATTATCTGACCTTTTCTGCTTGACTTATACATATACTAGATATTGCAAATAAGGGAAACCATGGGACCTATGTTTCTTTGGGCTTGGCTTACTTCACTTAATATAATTTTTTCCAAGCCTTTCCATTTCCTAACAAATGGGGCAATGTCATTCTTTCTGATGGAGGCATAGAATTCCATTGTGTATATATACCACATTTTCTTGATCCATTCATCTACTGAGGGGCATCTGGGTTGGTTCCATATCTTAGCTATGGTAAATAATGCTGGAATAAACATAGTTGTGCTGGTGGTTTTAGTGTGGTCTTGTTTGTAAACATTTGGGTGAATTGGAGATAAGAATCTCACAGACTTTCCTGCCCAGGCTGGCTTTGAACCATGATCCTCAGATCTCAGCCTCCTGAGTAGCTAGGATTACAGGCATGAGCCACCAGCACCTGGCTTGGGTTGTATATCTTTAAGTATTGCATTGGTAGCTACATATATCTTCTAATTTGATTTTTTTCCCCTTGTATTTTATTAGGTGCAGAGAGAGCTAGCAGCTGTTATTGCTTTGAAAGCAAGGAAGTCTGGTGAGTATTCTTCGATGCAGCTCTAGGAAGATTTTAATTCTTTAGGGATATTTCACATATTACCTGAAAGTGTACAGTTGAGTGGATCTCAGGATTCTTTGATGTAGAATGTGGGGAAGTATGACTGTTTACTTTTAAAAACATGTATCCTACCATCCAAATAGCATAGGATGTTATGTGTACTTCTTAAAGGTAAAATACTACTACTTTCCTCTAATTTATTGTAGATTTTATGGAAAAATATTTTAAATGTTTCTAGTCCACTGCAACATGAAAACAGATCTAATTAGATGACAAAAGAAAGTAATCCTCTTGCATTTGGTATCACCAACGGAGAACAATGAATATGATGATGATCTTTTTTAAGACTATTTTTTATCTCTAAGCAGTTTCTCCTAAAAATAATTTTAATTGTATAATGACATTCCAAAATAAGCATTTTTTACAGGATTGATTACATGACTCAGATTCCTCAAACCTATAGCATGTAATCTGTGGCAAGGAAAAGGGAACTTTTAAATAGATTTTGAAGGAGGAAAAGGCTTTACTGAAATCCAATATAAAATGGAGACTCGCTGAAGTAGAAAAATGCTTGCTAAGAGAGGAGAGATGTCAGAAGAAGTCATCTTGTGCTACTCTTCCTTCATCAGAGGGAGGAAGTTGGTACTAAGTGAAATGAAAAACAGAAAGGAAGTATTTCTTCAATAATGTTAAACTAAAGTAAGAGTTTTCCACCAGAGAGACTATGACAAGATCAGGGTGAAAACCAAGTTTGAAGAACTGTTGGAACAGAAATGTCTAAAACCATGTATTTTACATGTTCTTTGACTAGTTGGAAGCTATAAGACTTGTTTGTTTGTTACTTTTTAAATCAAACACACCTTAGTGTAACCTAGCTTATTATAATACACATTCCTTTCTTTAGTGATGTGATTGATCAAGAGGACAGATGTTATAAAAGGATGGTAGAGAGAAGGATGTGAGAAATGGTGATTGATCATGGGTATTGACCAGCGAGGGCAGCATGAATATGTATCCCCTGGGAAGAACATTAGATTATGGATATTTGTAGAAGCAAAAGCCAAAATGAAGAAAGTACATCAATACAAATATTTTAAGAGGAGTTGGGTATAGTAGCTCAAGCCTGAATAATACTAGATGCTTGGGAGCCAGAGATCAGGGAAGCCAACTGGGGCATGGAAGTTCAAGAGAATCTATCACAATCATTGTCTGGGTACAGTGACAAATGTTATCCCATCAATGAGGCAGGGGGTACAATGGCTGGGTGAAGTGGCATATGCCTGTCATCTTCAGTATACAGCACAGCACAACTAGGAGGCTCAGGTGTAAAGCAAGACTCTACCTTGAAAATAACCAAGGCAAAAGGATCTTGAGGTATAGATTGTTTGGTAGAGTGCTTATCTTGCAAACAACAAGGCCTGGAGTATTTAATCCCCCATGCCACCAAAAAAAGATGAAATAAAAAAAGAGTGACATTGATCAAGATTCATTGTATTCACATTCTACTTTGAACAAAAGATAAAATTATTTTTTAAAAGTGTTTTAGAATAAGGAAAGGAAAGGGGCTGGATTAAACCAGAGTGGGATGGAAAGGCCTCTGACAGCGCAGAGACTCAGCAAGGGAGTGAGCTCTGGGGAATTCAGATGAGAGCATTTGAACAGAGGCATTGTGCCAATTGTGTTCAAGGACCACAGAAGTCTAAGAGCCACTGGAGGAAGAATAGTGAACAGGACAGAAAGAGGGACCTTTCACTAAGAAATTTGAACTTTGGGGAGGGAGATGGGAAGGGATGGGAAGGGTAAACAAAGGAGGAGGCAACAATGCTTGATAAGAAATGTACTCATTACCTTGCCCATGTAATTGTAACCCCTCTGTACAGTATTTTCACAATAAAAGAAAAAAGAAAAAAATAAATTTGAACTTTGTGGAAGTGAATTATGTTCCAAAGTGTATACTGTTGAATTAGCCCTTAAAACTCAGGACTGTTATGTAGTAGAGAGAAAGCATTTGTCCCTTTCTCCAACATTGGGAATTTGGACTCTGGAAATGCTTCTGTTTGCAGTTAGAGGACTTAGGAGAAAAAAAGACTGGGAGAGATGGGTATGATAACCATAGGAAAACCTTGATAAATATGTTCATGTATTCATTCTTTGCCAAATTTTGATCAGGCACCTGCTGCATGCAGCTACACAGTGGGGCACAGAGGATAGGGAGCAAAGGCAAACTTGGTTTTTTATGCTTTGTGTGCATATGTGTGCTGGACCTGGGGCTTGAACTCAGGGCCTGAGTACTGTCCTTTAGCCGATTCATTCAAGACTGGTACTCTATCACTTGAGCCACACCTCTGCTTCTGGCTTTTTGGTGGTTAGTTGGAGATCAGAATTTCAAGGACTTTCCTATCCCACAAGGCTTCAAACCACAATCCTTAAATATCAGCCTCCTGGGTAGCTAGGATTTCAAGAATGTGCCACTTATGCCTAGCCCTTTATATTTAAAATCACAGCATATATTTAATAAATATTAAAACAAGTCAGTCTGGAAAATGGGAAACTTACTATTGTGAATTTAGGAGGTGATAAAAAGGATGATTGTTAAGCACAGACTTATTTAGAATTCCAACTGCAGGATGGTAATTTCTATGGAAACTTCTGGTTGTTTAAAACTATATATTTTTTAGGAAGATTATTTTTTAAAGGAAGATGGTAGGCATCTAGTTTTAAAAAAGTATTAAAATGATAGCACATCTGGAGCTTGACAAAGGAATTGATTACCTTAGTGTCTCAGGTCTTACAGAAAAACTGCTAATTAGGACTCAGGTGGTCATGCCAGATTTATGACTAGCCACCAAGGGTTATTAAAACAAGCATTAGTATAAAGAAAAAAGTTTTACTTTCAGCTCACCATACAAACGAATGTAAAAACAACTGCCAATCAATATCAGCTCTATAAATGATTCAAAGCTGTAGCTTAGTAAAAAATCCATTTTGTTGTAATTTTCTAAGAGGCTATTAGAATGTGCCTTTTAACTATTTTCTAAGAGCGTACCTTTGTGGATGTGAAGAGCATTTAAGGCTTTGTAAAATTACAGAAATGAGCACAGGCAGCCTCACATTTCTTTCTCTTTGTTGACCACATATTCTACTGCTAACGTTAGCTCATTAGTGTCTTGCAAGATGTTTCTTCCCTTTTCTGGGGAATCTACAGCCAAAGCACATCAGCTCTCATGATGTTTAGATCCTGTGAAATTTCTGTTGTAGTGGGCTTCATATTTCTGGAAGCCAGAAATCTCCTATCAGTAAATCTGTCTGGCAGTGTTTAAAGTTCACGGTATCTGCTTAGCTCATAGCCACTTAAATGTTTTAAAACCTAAAGATCTTCTATATTAAAGTTTGGAAGGAAAAATGGTTTTGCCATTTAGATGTCTTTGTGACCCTAGCTAAGTGATTTCTATTTGTGTCCTGCAGGGCTGGGATAGAATCTGGTGAAATTAGCACTACCTTATAGCTCTGTTAATTACAGCATTGTCTTTGTTCTTTTCCTTCATTTACCATAGTCAAAACCTTGGGACTGTCTTACTTAGGATTCTTGAAGGTGCACAAAATAAAAGAACAAGCTAAAATCCACAAGGGGAATTTAGTGGCTCAGAGAATGTGCAGCAGTAGTAAGAGAAGACCTCTGTGAAGATGGCCCCAGCAAAAACATTAGTGAGGGATCTAGTTGGAAGAGGTGAAAGTCCCCTCTCCCAACACAGGGAGAATGACAGCAATGCTTGATAAGAAATGTACTCATTATCTTGCCCATGTAATTGTAACCCCTCTGAACAATATGTTCACAAAAAATAAAAATAAAAAAAGAGAATGTAGAGATTTACTCAAGGCTGGTGCTCTACCACTTGAGCCACAGCTCCACTTCCATCTTTTTGGTGGTTAATTGGAAATAAGAGTCTCACAGACTTTCTTTCCTGAGCTGGCTTTGAACCTTTATCCTTAGATCCTGAGTAGCTAGGATCACAGGCATGAGCTACTGGCACCTGGCCTGTTTTCTTTTTCTTTTTTTTTAATTTTAAAAGAACATACTCTTTATCATCTTTGAGACCTATATTCAGATTTAAGCAGGCATTTGTAATGGATGAATGATTTTAACGCTACTTATTGTTGTTTTCCATGAGGTTGAATTTTGTGTAGAACTTAATCAATGTGAGAATTTTTAGTGACTTGACCCATTTTCTCAGGTCAACTGCTAGTAACCATGACTAGCTACAAGTAACTCATTTTAGAAAACTTGCTTGTGGCCCTTCTCTTAAGTATTTGTGAGACCAGGAGAATCAGAGTGCTCTGACATGAGGCATTTATGAAGTCTAAGGTCTGACCCAATAGAAAAGTTACCTTATTTCTACTCAGACACATTGTAAAGAAGATACTCATGTTGTGTTGTCATAAGATGACAGTGATTGACTTTTTAAAATTAGACAATAAAATCTTCTCTTTAGGGCTATTAAAAGAGAAAACGTTTAGTATCTTTGGAATTCTTCCTACTTTCATGATCCTCTAAATTTTTATCTTTGTTTCTAATTGATAGTCTTCTTTCACTATAGTACTATTCCTTGGCTGTCCTGGAGTTTGAACTCAGGGCCTTATGATTGCTAGGCAAGTACTTTATCACTTGAGCCGTGTCTCTATCCTTTTTTTGCTTTATTTATTTGCTTGTTTTGGTAGTTGCCATAGCAAATATATACATTTATATAATTTGTAGATCCTCAGGTTGTTGTACAAGGGGCTCACAATTTAACATGTCTATTTATGTATACAGTGACTCTTGATCAAGTCACCTTTCAGCATTCTCTCCTTCCTACCTTCCCCTTCCCCACCAGCCACATCAAGTTCCTTGCCTCCTTTTTTACACATGTACATTAAGTTTTAAGTGAAGTGTATTGCCATCCATCATTTCCTTTTCCCTTCATGACTTCCCTTCCAGTAAG